TACTTTACATGGGATACAAACAGAATAGGAAAAATATGCGTACCCTACCCAATGTTGAAATAGCAGGTAGTCCAAAACAATTTGAATACACCGGGCTGTGCATTTTATCTCTAAAATTTCTGATGTGGGAACCAGTCCTGTTTGTAGGGTTGCCTGGATGTTCAAGATGAGACTTGTTTAAGATGCCCACAAAGCAGAGATTGGTGCCTGACCGACTTGAGAAACATCTTAATGCAGGATTAATTGTATCCATGATAATGATGCCTTTGACATCTATTCCAGTAAAATCAGTATTTTTTTCTTTAGTTTCTGGACAAAATTTGCAGCGTAAGAGTTAATTAGCCTCTGCCTTTCTCTCTATGTATGTAGAAGTATGGCAAAGCTCACTTATGTTTATAGGGTAAAACAACATTTAAAATCTTAATCTTTTGCCAAAGAACAGGCTTTAAAAGTGCAACACGCTGTCATGCAATGCTCTATCTGCAGAAATATTGACAATATTGACTCATTTTATGGAGTGATAAGGTTTTTTCTGTTAGAAATCGTAAGAATATTTTCTCCAAGCACATCTAGCCAACACTTTCCCGTCAAAAGCTCAGAGTCTTCACTCCATACCATATTTTATATTACAAAACCACTACCTGTGTTTATCTTAAATCACTTGTGAATTGGTACAAGAAGAGAAAGGAACGTGGGTGATGGTTTGGCTTTTTTGAGTTGGCACATTTTTTTGTTTATGTTACTTCTTAAATGAGTTGTACATGGTTTTGGCAGTATAAATAAGACTCATCAAGGAGTTAATGTTTTGGCTAATTAGAAAAGGCATGCGTCACCCATTATTATGTCTGCTTGTGATACAGAAACGTGAAAGCCCCCGAATTCTAGAAGCGCACAGCAATAGGGGTATTATTTCTGAAGGATGTTGTGAAGAGCTGACAAAGCTCTTCAACAGTTGGATTTTTTCATCTTAAAGATTTTCTCAGCCATGATTCTATTTTTCTCTGATTCTAAGTGCTGCAGGACCTACCTGCAGCCTACCTTCTGCCATCGTCCCTGGACAACCATGGAACAATATAATTTTGAATCCTCCTTTGGGAGTTGAAAAAGCCCAAATCAGTCTAAACCATCTCCAGCTCTGGAGGTTCCTGGTGGGCTTTGCCTCGGTTCTGAAGTGTTTTCCTTTCAAGAGGGCACCTGGGTGGAGGAGCTGGCTGCTGTGCATTGTGATGCGGGTTTTCAGAGCTGAGCTAGAGACTGATGCATGTGGACTGGCCTCTCTGGTCACGTCACCATCACTTTGGGCACTCTAGAATGTTGATTTAATGAAACAATATTTTTTCAGGCTTTTCAAGACCTGTTGGAGAGCAGCATAGGGGAAAGGAACCTGGGGGTCCTGGTGGGCAGCAAGATGGCCATGAGCCAGCAGTGTGCCCTCTTGGCCAAGAAGGCCAATGGCATCCTGGGGTGTGTTGGAAGGGGATGAGCTAGTAGGTCAAGAGACGTTCTCCTGCCCCTCTACTCTGCCCTGGTGAGGCCACATCTGGAATATTGTGTCCAGTTCTGGGCCCCTCAGCTCAAGAGAGACAGGGAACTGCTGGAGAGAGTCCAGTGCAGCCACAGAGATGATGAAGGGAGTGGAACATCTCCCTGATGAGGAGAGGCTGAAGGAGCTGGGGCTCTTTAGCTTGGAGAAGAGGAAGCTGAGGGGTGACCTCATTCATGTTTATAAATATGTCAAGGGGGAGTGTCAGGAGGATGGAGCCAGGCTCTTTTCAGCGATATCCAATGACAGGACAAGGGACAATGGGTTTAAGTTAGAACATGGGAAGTTCCACCTCAACATGAGGAGAAACTTGTTGGCTGTGCGGGTGCCGGAGCCCTGGCCCAGGCTGCCCAGAGAGGGTGTGGAGTCTCCTGCTCTGGAGACTTTCAAACTCGCCTGGACGCATTCCTGTGTGGCTGCCCTGGGTGACCCTGCTCTGGCAGGGGGTGGCACTGGGGGATCTCTAGAGGTCCCTTCCAAACCTCAACATTTTGTGATTTGTGATTGTGATAAGATACCAAAAAGCCTAATTTGGATTAAGTTTTCAAAGTGTTATTCTTGCATAAAGGAAATTATTCTCAGTTCTGCAACTTCTGTTTTATTCCAGATGATTTTATTTTCTTCTTTATTATCATGAATTAATTTCTTGTTCTGCAGAAGTGGGACATTTTACCACTTTTGAAACTGTGCCCTCGTGTGCCAACCTGCAGGATGTGCCCACTAGAAGGAACAGAGGTGTAATGCAATGCTACAACTGTTTAATTATTTCTCCCTGAAACACATCTGTTAAAACAATTTACTTCTTTCCTGAGATATTTTTATATTCATTCTTTTGCACACTCACCCTTCTGTAGCTGCTTGTGTTGCTGCATTTCTTTTTTGCATCCAAGGACATTCTGCTGGCGTTTTCTTATTTAAGCCCAAGCAGACATATTAGTCGTTAATTATTTTTATATTTCCTCTGAGCCCCATCGATTTTTTTTTTTGCCAGACGTGACAATAAATAGGTATTGATTCATAACAGCTTGGGTTTAAATTGAGCAGAAGGGAATACAAATGTTCACGGGTGGTCCATACTAATGAGGTCCTCGCCTGAAGGCAAGCGCAGGGTGCAAGTCCTGGCGTCGCAACGTGTGACGTAAAATGCAAAACTAGAATTTATTTTGCTGGAGTTTGTTTAATTACGGAAAACTCCAGTCGGAAGTTGGGTCACGTTGAGTGGAAAATGGTTTATTGCTTTTTCTGTTCTGGCAATCGCGAGGCTGAACCAAATGTGGAAATAGAAATCGATGTAAGAATTGTAAAGCAAAATAGAAACAAGGTGTCTGGTGAATCCACAGGGTATCTCCATGGAGAGACGGTGCTTCTCATTTGGTTTGTAACTCGAGTATCTTTTAATATCCTTTTTCCCCATGCACAGGTCCCCATGGTATAAAGAACTGCGAAACGCAGATATTGCTTTTTTCCTAACGCTCCCCATGCCTCCCCATGAGGAAGATTAGCTTAATTACAGATCAGGAGTGAGCAGCACAGATAATGGCAGGAGTGCAGGTCTCATGTTCTGGAAGAGGCAGCAATCCCAGGTCCCTTGCCTGTAAAACATTATTTCTTTGTTTTTATTTTTTTTTCAAATGAAGCCTCCTTTCTGAAAACAAAGATGTTTTCAGCTCATCCCATTGGTGCCTGAGGTTGTACGTGCCGGTCTCGGTCTCGCTTGGTCCTATTGCGGTGAATATGGATGGACACGAAGCAGCAAAGCAGCCCTAAGATGCTCCTTGTAGGGAGCACAGGGGTTAGGCATCGAGCTGCTTCAGGTAGTTAAAGTAGTGGCTGCATGAGTTGCACTTAGAGAAAAATTGCCATTTGAAAAAGCAAAATACCAAATAAGAACTGTAATACTGACCTTTTGATGCTTTTCTTCCCCTAAACGGAGTCAAATGAAGCTCTGCAATCCGTCTCCTTGACCACAGAACAGCTGATAAATTACCTCTGGTTCTTGGGGGAAAAGAATAATAAATCTTCGAGCCCTTTAAGGATTTTATAAACCCTCCGCATGTTACCCAACATGATGTAGCCAAGATGTTTGGAGAGTTGCAGAGCAGCGAAGCCTCCTGTCCACTACGTCTGTCCTGCGCGGGGTCCCTGCCTCCCCTGTGCCCTGAGCTTGGCTTTCTCCTGGCTTCAACCGGGATTTGATTTGGTTTTGTTTTTCTGCCATCCCTCAAATTACTGTGATACAAGTTATGGTTGAAGGTTTTATTTGTACGCTGAAGTTTAAGATTTCATGGTTTCAGTCTGTAGTGATCATTTGAGGCATATCCTGTATTTTAGGGGGTTATCTAGAGCTACATCATACCCTGCAGTTACATAATGATATTTAAACCTATTTGGTCAAAGACCTAACTGGTAAATATTTGGAAATACAGAGAAGAATGCTGATCCAAAAGGAGTTAAATTTTTGTTAACAGCATTGAATACTCTTACTGTCATTGCCTGCTAAATTGGTATCGTCTTGCGCTTCAGGGCGTGATTTCCCAGCAGAACATGCTGATATCCTTGGGGTTTCACCTCTATGGTAATTTCAGAATAAGATCCTGTAAGTGATGGAAAGCGGAAGGTAATGGAAATGCAGCATGAGTTTCAGATCGAAAGCTGGGAGTGTCTTTCAGGCTGTTTCACTGGAGTGCTGGCAGTTACTAATGCTTTGCCTACCGCTGCTTCTTTGGACGCTAGCTCTCCTCTAAAATGAGATTAAATTAGGCTACAGAGAAATCAACTCTATTCCAGCCAAAAAAAACCCAAAACAGCACATGGCTGGAGAGTGAACACTGCCTTGTTCCCCCTCCCCTTCCTTACTGCAGGGGATGTTTAATTTTCTAATGGCATTAACGAGGAGGAGAGCTACGCTGCGAGTGGTGCCAGGGGCTGGGCCCGAGGTGTGTGGCACCTTTTGGGGCGTGGGAGGCAGCGATGGGGATCCTCAGGATGGAGCAGTTGGGTTCCTCAGTGTAGAGGACATGTCACTTCTGGTGAACTCTCCCAAGGGATGATGTAGATTACATCAGTGATGTAGCCGTGCCTCATCTGACTTATTGCTCTTGGGATACAGTGCTGGAAAACACCAGCAAAATGGTTTGTAAAATTGGAAATGTATTTCCTTGTTATTTCTGAATATAAAGAAATCAAGGAGTTCGGTGGTCCTACCTCTCTGGATTGCTAAATAATCTGATGTAAATGTAATTTTCCAAGCATTTCAATTTGCTAAATTAATTATTTAATGCTTGCAAAGATCTCTGGTGTAGCAGCTGCACGAGCGTTCACATGCTGCTGTACTCTAATTCCAGCAAATGGATATTGATGAAAAGGAAATCGTGACAACTGTAGGAGGAGCTGTGATTTATGCTTCGCAGCTTTACAGAAACTGTGCTTTGATCGTCTGTTCTCTTAACAATTCCAGGTGTTGTTAAGGTGGATTATGGCGATGTATCCGTCAGGAAAGCACTGAGAGAAAATCTGAAGTGCAAACCCTTCTCATGGTACTTGGAAAACATCTACCCTGACTCGCAGATTCCGCGGCGCTATTACTCCCTTGGTGAGGTACGAACCATTTCTTTTGGCTAAATTAAACCCAAAAGTCCCCTGTGCGAATGGAAGAACTGCCAAGAAGATGAAGCAGCTTTGGCAAAAGGAAGAAAGTGCTTGTGTGCAATCACTGTATCTTCTTTATTTCAGAGCAGGTTGTGTTTTCCCCGAGTCTTTCACGTTGCTATTCCGGATGCCACCACAAAAAAATCTATCTTTTAAATGGAGTGTCCTCTTGGGAAACTGATGCTGGTGATTAATGTTTTAAATAATTAAGTAATACGCAGTAGTTGAAGGGAGCCTTCCATTATCACTTGTCGCTTACATGTAGAGTAAAAAGATCTCTTTTGGGGGGTTTTTTTTGCCTTTTTTAATTTCAAGAAAGGTGTTTATTCACTGCTGTTGTGTTTTGCAGCAAGGCTGCCTGGAGCTGAGCATCACAGACATTTCTAATGATCTAATCGTTCTAGTACCACCAAGAACTGAAATCTCTTTAAAATTCCTATCATTCGCTGTTAAAAGTATTCTACTGAGTTGTACCTACGCTGACTTCTAAAAGCTCTTGAATGGTTTGATTTAAAGATATCTGTGGATAGAATAGCAATCAAAGGAGCAATTGGCTTTTTTACAACCAGGAAAGTGATTTACCATTGAAACTTGCAATTGTAGTGAAAAATAAAAGCCGCAGTAGGGTTTCCAGTTTAACTATGGCAAAATAAAGTGAAACATGATTTTACAGCAAGGAAAGAACTCATCTAACAAGTGTCATATAATAAGGTTTTCTACGATATTGTCAGGCTGGAACACAAAAGCACGAGAAAGTAATAAAATAGTTATTAAAACACCTTATTTTTACCAACACGGCCTCAGTTTCTATGGAAACAGCAGCTCAGGCAGGATCCGTGAATTAAACCCCTGACTTGGCCGTTGCAGCTGCCGACTGCCAGTTGAGCAGCCAAGTGGCTTTTTAATCCTAGAGCTCAGGTACCACCATCAGCGAGAACTTTCCTGCGCGTTTTCCTCCCTCGCAGCAGGGCTGGGGTAACCCCCACGTGCCGGGATTGTGGTTCCCATGGACGCTCAAAACGTTCAACGTTGGACCTCAAACTGCAGCGTGTGAGTGCTGATTCCGTTCTTCTGTAGCATGAAGAGTGAGAAAAAGAGCAAATGATTTGGACAGGTTTGGGATAATCATCCTGAATTCCTTTACAACCTCCTGCAAGGGAGCGCAGGTGGGACGGGGAAGTGGGCGACGTCTACGTGTGGTTCGCTTACACCGCGTATTATAATCATAATAATCAGTATTATATTACCTTTTAATTTGGATTTTATCTGGCTGTTGCACAACTCGTTTATATACACCTGTTGCCTTTATAAATGAACTGTGCAACTTCTAAATGAAATTTCGCAAATGGGGAGTTGGATGGAACCGAAGTTCTTCAGTGCTCGGTGAATAAACCTCATAAACTGCTTCACAGGCAGATCCTGAATATTGCCAAGCCTTTATCTGCAGCTAATTTTTCCATTCTGTTAGAACAACAGTGACTGTATAAAATCTGAATTTCCTAGGCGGAAGAAAATATGCCTCAGAAAGGGCATTAAATTTGTAAAATGGGGTGAATAGTAAATATCGTTTTTTACGTTTCAGTTGTGTAGCATCAAAAGTAAATACAAAATAAAAGCAAGGAATTGTTTTATAAAAGCCGAGGCATAATAATTGTGGGTGAGTTTTTTAAGTCGCTTTTCATTTTAGTCCTCTGCTTTAATGAATGGAGAGGTTGCAGAAGAAATAAATTACCTTCCTCATGGAGGTACTTGAAACCATTTCTGCAAAATCGGATATTTAAGGCTGGATTTCAGTTTTAAGGCTGGATTTCTCAAAAAGGGCTGGGTTTACCATTTGAGGTCAGATTGTCACTCAAGCCTAATCCTTCAGACCCAGTTTGGGGCCTGCAGTGGCTTCGCTGCTCTGCGTGGTGACACTTGCCGGAGAAGAAGACTCAGGCACCTCTTGGAGGACAAAGCAAGGAGGGAGCTGCCACAAGCTGAAGTTGGTCATTGCTTTTATGCTCAACCGTTACCCTGAATAAATGTGTTCTCAGAAAAGTCTTGTGGGGGAGCGACGCTCTCGTACTGGCCCTTCTGCTCCTCACGGCTTCCTGTTCCCGCGGTATTGGTAAATGAGATTTCCCTTGCGTGCTGCTCATACTTACACTTAATCTGCAGTTTAAAATCTTATCATACCCTTGGTCGTTATTTTCGCTTTCTTTTGGCAGTGTGACATGTTTACAACTTAAAACACACTCCCGTAGGTGAGGGCTGTATGTGTATAGTTGAATGCACAGATAATGTACTTTCTCCTACAGGGACGTCATTTTTTCCTGCACAAATGTGACTTCTACAGGCTTCTTTTGTTTTTTTTTTCTTCCAAGCAAGATTTCATCTCTTTCTTCCTTCAGATCAGGAATGTCGAAACCAACCAGTGTTTAGACAACATGGGCCGCAAAGAAAATGAAAAAGTCGGCATTTTCAACTGCCACGGCATGGGAGGAAATCAGGTAAAATAAAAATAATAAATTAAAAATGGATATTATTTGTACGGTCATTGCGGGTTTGTGCCGGGTACCCTCCAATTTCACCCCCGATGGAACTGGGATCCCCTCAGTTAATGTGGCTCAGATGCAGCTGCGTTGATTTGCTACAAAACACGACGGCAGCAATCAGCAGACCTATTAATGAAAGTTCCAAAATGTTCGAGATTTTGAGCTTAAGAGCTTTAAGAGTACTCAGAAAGCCGTTTTCTCAAGTAACAGCTGCAAATTTTGAGAACGTGTCAGTACACACCTGTAGGTCCAGCGAAGTATCTGAGTGAGTATATTAAATACATTCCTGGGGTTAGAGTGCAGAGAGAAATGCAGTTCAGGTTTCACATACCAAGATTAGAAAATTTGATCGTGAATTTTAATTTGTATTTGGGGGAAAAAAATCTTTTAAAAAATGAAACTGGGTAAGAATGTATGAGAGATGCATGTATGAAAAATAAAAAAAAAAACAAACACACAGAATATTCATGCAAGCGGAGGGTGTTGGTTTTTTTCTTTGTTAGAGGAAATTGAGACCGTGGAGGCGTGCGGTGTTTCGCCTGTGTCTGGGCTGTGTTTGAAAGGGAGTGAAAAGGTAAATGGCAGTCACTGAGCTTATCGTTCCACTGGTGACTGTACCCTCTCACTGTGTAAACACTGGGAAATTTTGCATATTCTAATGCTTGCAATTCAAATTAGCAGAGCTGATTCACTTGAGGTGATGAGGGTGGCTTTCCCTAGTGCCACATCTGCTAAAAAAAGATGGGAAAATCATAGAATCACAGAATCATAAAGGCTGGAAAGGACCTTAAGATCCTCAAGTCCAACCTGCAGCCCTACACCACCCTAACACTAAACCATCGTGCCACATCCAGCCGTTTCTTAAACACGTCCAGGGATGGGGACTCCAGCAGCTCCCTCGGCAACCCGTTCCAACGCTTCACCACCCTTTCGGTGAAGAAGTTTTTCCTAATGTCCAATCTAAACTTCCCCTGGCGCAACTTGAACCCATTCCCTCTTGTTGCTGCGGTTTTCAAAGGGAAAGGTCGCAAAGATGACAAGAACTTAGCTACCCGTAGATAAGCCGGCACTTCTTTATTGCAGTGCTGGGAAGCCTGGGAATCACCCAAGGCTTCGGATAGATCACAAAAATTCAGCCTATTTATACACTTTTTGTGCAAAGTCATGATCTTTAACATATTTTAACATGAACATACATACTATGCCCACTATTAGTTTTGACATTTACGGTGATTGGTTTAACCCTTATTAATACTCTTATATCAATACGATTATTGGTTATTCTGTTGGTTACAATTCCTGATGTACAAATTAAGGTGAGATAGTATTTCTTGTTTCTGTGGTGTTTCTATGCGATGTTTCTATGTTATTATCACAAAACACGAGATAGAGAGGTAGGGAGGTAAGTACAGAACATTCCAGGGAGGCAGGGAAGCAGGCACGACACCTTCCCTCCCACTTCCGCAACTCGTACCAGCTCTAGCTCTAGCCAAGGCCTGTACACAATTTCTTAGCATAATTAAGGTTTTTAAGGTTGTATATTCCTTATCCTAATATAAGTCAATAAACTACTTTAATTAAAATGGTGATTAATTAAAATGACAATTAGTTAAAATGTTAATTAGTTATTCCTTAGCTTCTTAAAACTTAAGTTTGATTGCAACATTGTCCTATCGCTAGATGCAGGACCCCTGTGTTTATCCCGTTGTATTTATCCCGGACTTCACCATCTTTCCCAGTTTGACTTAGGAGACGCAAGTGTTAGTGTTGGAGTAAGGCCACAAGGCTGAGGGTTCTATTGACACCTTGGGTGTTTGACGTGTTTGTTTACACCTTGGGTGTTTGGTGTGTAGGGTTAGACTGGACATTAGGAAAAAATTTTTCCCAGCAAGAGTAGTCAGATGTTGGGATAGGCTGCCCAGGGAGAGGGTTGAGACCCCATCCTGGAGGGGATTAAAGGTCGTTGAGATGTGGGGTTGGGGGAGATGGGTTAGGGGTGAGCTTGGTAGAGCAGGGTTAGTGGTTGGACTCAATGATCCCAAGGGGCTTTTCCAACCCAAATCATTCTATGATTCCGTACTGGGAAGACAGCTCTCTTTTTGTTGAAAGAGGAGAAAAATCCAAGATGATTCTCCCAGCTCCAAACCCTCCGTCCCTCTGAAGGAGCAAGTGTGAAGTGAGGAGGCCTGAAAGGCCTGGTGGTTTGTGAAATATATGTATATGGAACCTGTAGAAAGAAACCTTCCACCTCCAAGATGAAGAGACTTTGCTCCCCTGCGTTTGGATGAGCAAAGAGCAGTATGTGTGTGCTGGTGGAGCCTTTGCTTGGCGCACCTGACCTACAGGCAGAACGTTTTTCATCCTTTAGTGCTCGTACACAACTCTCGTTAAAAGTTATCTTTATTAAATTCTGTCCTGCTAAGAAATTAGAACCGAGCGAAGACATGTAAATGCAGGGGGTGGGGCGGGTTGTGTGGATGCAGAAATAGCTGAGGAACAAAACTGCTTCGGGATGAAAATGAAGAAAGAAGAATACCTGGCTTGTTAGAGCCAAGCAAGATGCGTGGGCGCCTTCCAGCATGAGGCACGGGCAAATATCTCACAGATTTTAAAGGGCTTCAGGAGAACAAGATTCTGAAGATATGGATTTCTTTAAAAAATAAGAAAAATGACATAGTGATCTTTCCAGGTCCCTTCCAACCCCTAACATTCTGTGATTCTGTGAAATATGTTAGCTGAGGCCCTTCGTGTGAGAATTATTCTCAGAGTATAGAACTGTGGAGGATTTGTTGTTGTGTTGGCAGGGGTATTTCAGATTATCCTAACTTGGTTGGTACCTGGTGACTATTAATGATCTTTAAAACAAAAGAGTCCCCTAGTGCAGTTAAATGCAAGTTTAGAACTGTTTTGTTTGCTCTGTGTGGAAGGGATAGGATGCCAAGCCTGTCCCCAGATAGCTACAGCTTTAGGGGCTAGAATGTCAGATTTGTGGGTACATCTCCTGGGTGCAGGGAGCAGGGAGGGTATTAACTTCGGGAATGATGGTTTTTTGGGAGAAAGGTACCCAGGGCTGACTCCTGAGGGAAGAAATCTGGAAAAAGCTGTTACCCACCTTCCCTGCCTTACACAGCAGGGGACAACCCATCCATCTCACACCTCTTTAATTTTCCCCTCACTGCTGAATTTCTGGTTTTGTGGCATATTCGAGGCAAATTGTTGCTTTTGAGGGCCTGGCAGAGGGTGAAACAGTTGTTCTTCCTGCCTCCAGCCGTGCCGATGGCCAGCCCGGTTGCCATGGGGATGTCGGCTCTTCCCGCCTCGGTTCATAACAATAATCAAATCGTGCCGTAACACGTCGGTAGAGAGAAAGGATGAGGAATTCAGGAGGCTGATGGTTGCATCGCTGGTGTGTTGCAGTGCTGGGGAGGGCAGGGCTGGAGGAGAGAGCGTGGGGCAGCAGCTCCTCTCCCTCGGCTGCCCGAGAGCAAAGGGCACAGCCAACCCGTTGCCATCGCTTCTTTTGGTTCTTCCTGTTTAACACCTTATGCCTTTTCTCCTGTCTGGAGCTTCAGTTGTGCTAGGTTTAGCGACAAGCCTGCTTTTTTCAGGAAACAAAACAAAGACAAGGGAAGTAGGAAGCAGCACGTGGTTGCTTTTTCCTTCTGTTCCCTCTAGGTAAATATCACGCCAGTAAGAAGACCCAGGCGAAGAGTAGTAGCGCAGCTACAAGCACGGGGTGTTATTTCTCAGCATCCCACACCGGCAGCCCTGCAGCTCCTGCCCGGGATCCCAGTGGGTGCTCAGAGCCCTGACAGAGGTGATGGTCTGGGCAGTTTTTTACCAGCACACACGATAAAGGTTGTGAGAGGGTTGTTTTTTTCCCCAGTTAGCTCTAAGTAATAGGTCTTTCAGAAACCACTCTGTTTCGCAGTTTCCATTTTTTCCCCACTTGCAGTGAACGTCTGTGTTTTCAGACGCCTTCCAAACCCGAGCACTTTGTGTCGTGGGCCGTAGAAAAGATGATTTATAGACTCTTGCTCTGTTGGAGTTTATTGGTTTGCTATGATAATTTGCTCACTACAGGGAATGGATAGCAGCATGCGCGAGCTGTCGGACTTGTGAGACGTTTCAGTAATGGAGAGTTATAAAAAGTCATTTATCCTGTGTTTCTATCGCTGCCAGGTCAGGAGGAGAGGCGGGCGGGCAATAGGTACTGTCAGTGGCAAGTGGGGGAACTTGCAGTTGATGCCAGCCCGACTGTCTGTAATGCAGGAGTCACGTTCTCCGTTCTGAGTTAGCCAGTTTATCAGCTACGGCTGTTCAGCAAGTTATCTGAAAGCATTTTGTGCACAAGGTCGGACAGAACAAAGCCTTTAGTTTAGCGGCAATTAGACTTTTATTCACGCGGCTGATAGCAAGTTATGCAGAAGAAGAATTGAGCAGTACCTGTGCACCTGATCTCAAACCCAATAATCTTCTTAGAGAAGCTCACTGCACCCTTCGCAGACTTGATGAATTCAGTGCTTTGGTTTTCTTAATTGTAATATCTTAGGGAATACGAGATTTCACGAGTGGTTACCAGAAAGCACCTTAGCCCTTCTGCCTTTTTCCACCTTCTATAATCTCCCGTTTTCCCTCACTTAGCTTCCTTTCTAGCTCTTCATCTTCTAAACAGGCCCATTATAAATAAAACCTAGTTATTGCTTCTATTTTCTTAGTCCATTTTGCTGATACATGATTCCCCTTGCAGAGTTTCCCTCATTCCTGTGGATTGAGGCAATAAACCTTGGGGGCAGGAACTCTCATTGGATTTGCTCGGGATGCAGCATGAAGGAGCCCTCAGTGATCCTCAGCACTGTTCCAATAACCGTGATTAATAGGGAACAAAGGGGCTGTGCCTGTGTGTTAAATAACAATATCTTTTATTTAGAACAAGCAGAATGAAAACATGAGCAGAATGGAAGCAGCAACAGCTTTTTTGTGGTTGGAGGTGTGTGGATCACTATCCTGTACAAAGTGACAGTTGTCTGGAAAAGAACGAGAAGAGTAAAGCACCACCCCAAATCAAAACAAACCACACACAAAAAACCAACTACAACCCTCCCATGGAGCAAAAAAATCTTTTTTTGTTGGTTTTTTTTTTTTCAGTTTCTGTGCGAAATGCAGTGTTTCTCCAGATGACAGTGAGTTGCTCTGGATTACAGTGCTTCTGCCCTTGGGGCTGAGCACTGGGATAAATGAATCCTCGGCACCCATGTCGAGAGGTTGAGAACGAGTCTCACGTGAGCTTTCCAAAATCTGAAAGTCAGCTCTGGCTCGGCGGTGTCTGTGGGATGGGATGAGTTGGTTTCCTAACGTTAAAGGTCTTGACGTAACACCTTTTTTTTTGGAAATAAAGCTGATCCCTGTTTGCAGAGCAGACTATGAGAGTCCTGGATGATTTTTGGGTGGGAGGTGGGGGAATCAGCTTCAGTTCACTGGTTTTGCCTAAGAGGAAAGGTGCTTTGCTTACAGCTTCAGATAGAATATTTTACATCAGTTATGAAAGGTGATTTCAAAGTTTACCTTGGGGAGTTCCACAGATAATTAAAATGGTTGTCAGAATAAATTAGATTTTTCTGCACTTATTTATGTCCAGTTTGTAACTGTCTTTATTGCGTGGTGGACTTCTTCCTTGATTGCACAGGTGCATCCTCAAGGTTTAGTTATAATGAAGCATAAAATAGAGGCTTATGAACAGCATTCTCAGTGTTAGCCCTGTTCAGAGTTGACAAAATACCCTGGCTAACTGTTTTCCAAAGAAAAGGTCGACCAAATAAGGGGAAAGAAAAATTCTGGCCATGGGCTATTTCAGCGCCTACGTATATAAAACGAGCTCTGGATTAGTATTGACCACTTGACTGATTTCCAGTTAATAACATTGCTCGGCACTTTATTGGTGTTGAACAAACAAACTGATTAGCTTCAGAGACTTTTTAGCCGAAGGAGCACTTCGTTAGTTCCTTTTAACATGAAAGAAGAAATGGAATTGTCAGTGACGTCCTTCTCCGTTTGGTCTTTCTGATAAGTCGTGGTCCCACGCATCAGTTTAGTGAATGTTTGGCTTTACAGGACTTCCTTCGGCCTCGAAACTTGCTCTCTGGAAACGTACTGAGAAAGGATATTAAAAAAAAATTAGATGGTATTAATATAATTATGTGTGTAGTTAATATGCATGGCAGCAAAATGCTGGACTGATAATTTTATATCGTCTAAATTAGCATTCGGTTTTCTTTCTTAAGCCGGCATGATTTTCAAACCCGTGTTGAAAAACAGTGAAGTGAAGGGAGGATTTTTGGAGGTCTCGATGAAATGATTGAAGAAGGTTACTTTTGTTGTTTCATTTTGAGAAATTTAAGAATGCTAATATAAACAAGAAGGTCATAAATGGTTGAGTAGTTCTATATAAAAACTCTAGGCTTCAGATTAGCTCAGAATGTGGAATGCTCTTGTACAAGTTTTGAAGAAACCTCACAAATGATCTTGATTTTGTAACCTTACACACTTCTGTGTTAGCCTGATGTGCTAATACCAGCTCATCTGCTCAGCTATAAATTCCTTTTTCTAAATACTTACTTACAGAACGGAACTGAGCGAGCTAGTATGGATACGGAGTTATCCATGCCTTGCCTGAGGTTAGAGGGCTTGCAGAAAATGTCCTCGTGAAAGCGAAGTGGTGCTTTTGGTGTGACGTGGGCTCATTTCACCCCCTCGGAAAGCTGAGTGTGTGTCGAGTGTGATTCTCAGAGAGTGCTGTAGGGTCAGTGGGTGAGAACCTCCCTTGCCAAGGAGAGAGCCCCAAGAACTGTGGCCGATGTGGTTTTAAGTGAAAGCAGCACTTTGAGACCCTGAGGTTTATCTCAGTGATTTACCACTGGATCAAAAGGCAGCCGGGGCTTTGCTGTACCTTTGGATCCCAGGTTTTCACCCAAGCAAGTGGCGGGCAAGAGGTGAATAAGAAATCTGGAAAATGGGAAGATCCCGGCACGTCTTGCTCTCCCTCCCAGCTTGACACGGGTCTGGCTGCTCCACTGCCACCTGGGCGTGCTGGTTCTGTGTTCCACGATTGCTCTGAGAGGTTTCTCTGAACCTCCGCCTTCAATACCTCTGCCTTTATTTCCCCGGCTACTGTGTGCAGGGCATGGGTTTTGGGGGTTACATGGGGAGAATTGCTTTTGGTAGTGCAGCACTGCCAAGTGTCCATGTGATGCTGGATCTCCCGTCCTTGGCTTAATTCACCGAAGAAGTTTTAATTTGCTGCTTGATTGATTCTTCTCCCTTGAGTACTATGGAATGTCTCACGGCAAGTCCCAATGGATGGACGTCCCCTGGGCCGCTGCTTCATTTGTCATTCAGGTCCCAGCTCAGCTCCTCCTTCTACGAGAGGGGTGGGTCATACACGAGCTCTGAAGTCACCACCTAATCGAGGCGTATGCCCACATGCTGTATTTGTCTCTGCTTTTCTTATATTTCTCTGTTAATTTAAGGGTCGCCACGTTTTGCGTATTTCTGACAGCACTGTTTCTCCGTGACTGGTAGATACAGGTTCATACTCATCAAAACCTGAATGGGACACCAGCACTTAATCATTTATCTTGGTCTTGATGTTATTTTAGTAACTACCAGTCTTCTGCTCGTTTTCTTTCCGCTGTGGTGGCACTACAGCCGTGTGGGCTTCAGCAGTAGACCAGGTGCTGAGGCTCTGTCCCCTCTCCTCTGAGGAGAGGGGACAGGAGAACAGAAATAATTCACTTTTGGCTGCAAAAAGGAGTTTCTGCATGAAGCGGTAGAGCTCCAAGGCTCTTTTCCAAGGCTGGTTCAGGAGCTGTTTTGCTGGAGCAGTGGGTTAGGAGCAGAGAGAGGCTTCCCATGTGTCCAGGCTGTATAGTTTGGTGTCACTGCTCACAGTTCTCTGCCAGCTTCTTCCTTTCTTCCCCCTTCTCCTGTGGCCTCCACATGTTCCTTCCTCTCCAGGCAGTGGACCTTGCTACTGGTGGGGCTGGTGAGGAGCAGGTGGGACGGGTGGCTGGAGGTCCCAGTGGAAGCTCTCAGGGAACGGCAGGCAATGTTATTTAGCACCTCTTCACCTCCCAAACCCATCCGCCAAGTGTCGAGATCTAATTCAACGTGCTTCCCCCTCAGCCTGCACTCTACTGCAGGGGTGTTGCCGTGAGAGCTCAGCCTGTGCTGCTGGTGACCCTCCAATGCAGTGACACCATCCAGCGTCTTCAGAATTCGTTACCATAAAGGAACAAATCCATCAGTGTCAGGGCAAAGAGTCGGTCACAACCTGGGCTTTGTCCACTTGGCTCCTCGCTGATGGTTAAACCATCCCTCTGAGACCTAGAGCTGGTTTGCTAGAAGTTTGTTAATGGGGTGCTCTCTCGTGTCTTAATTCTTAATTTTATCAAGAGACATCATATTTCTGAAATACTCATGTATATGAATCTCGAGCACAGATAATCCTTGGTACCCCAAGTTAAGGTCGATACTAGGAGGAGAACTTAGTCTGGGAACGTTTGGATTCTTCCAATGATGGGCTTGGTCTATCCAGTGTATTAAACGACGTGTGAAACTTCTCCTGAAGACGCTGGTCACAGTTGCATGCTTCGGTAGAATTCCCAGGAGGTAACGCTGAGTGTATGCCTAGGTGCTTCCTGGGCTTGGCCCCCTAACATTGCTTTTCCTGAATGTGTGATACTCCTTCTCTTGTGGGCAACAGACATTCACCAGTGGGCAAACGCATTAAATTCTCCCGAAAGCCAAGGCACCACCTCAGTGTTTGGAGACAAAAGTAGTTCTACTCCACTGGTGTGAAAATCCTGTGTATTCCCAATCAGCAGGTGACTGGGATTCTTTCTTCATCACAGCAATCTTTTTGTTTCTGTTTCCAGGTGTTTTCTTACACTGCTGACAAAGAAATCCGCACCGACGACTTGTGCCTGGATGTCTCGAGGCTCAATGGCCCCGTCATCATGCTCAAGTGCCACCACATGAGAGGGAACCAGCTCTGGGAGTACGATGCCGAGGTACCTGAGGTGTCCGGGGTGGCACCCGCAGCCTCAGAGCTCGGTGTGCCTCAGCCGTGTCGTGGGGACAGGGAGCGCGGTGGCCCAGGGTGACCCGGTGTCGCTGCGGTGATGGTCGGGCTCGATGATCTTAAAGGTCTTTTCACACGCTGTGATGTGCCCGTAGGTGCACACTCGGGATGGCAAAGCGATTTGGCTAACCTCCAAGTTTTAAAAGGGGTTTCCACACAGTTTTATTTCTAAAGGGGTGGAAAAGTCAATTATTGTTTGAAAAAGACCATTTCTAGTAGCTGGCGTTGCCTCACACTCTTAGAATCTTAAAAGAAGTATTCAGCATTTTTTATGTAAATGAGTCATAGAATCATAGAATCATAGAATGGCCTGAGCTGGAAGGGACCTTAGAGATCATTTTAATCCAGCCTCCCTACTGCCAGGGACGCCACCTCTCAAAGTAGAAAACAAGGTTTATTTATTTTTTTTTAGTTAGTTTTCCCAGTTTATTTCTTATGGCTTTTAAAGATTGTTGCTTCTGCATTGAAATTGTGTTAAATCCTTTTCCATGTACCAGTTCCCTGCTCAGTTTGATGCTGCCATGGGACAGGAGGTGACTTCCTGCATTTTGAGGAGTGTAGTTCAAAGAAACATAGTGGCTTATGGAGAGGTTGTAAAATTAATATAACACATGTAAAATCTTGGTATTTTGTGGCCGAATAGTTCTGCTTTTTAAACAGGAAGGGAAACAGAAGATGAAAATGAAAACATACGTTGGAAGCTTTTGCCTTGAGATGGAAACATGCAGTTTGGTGTGGTGAAATCCACACAAAGGTGTTGGTGTTTTCTTCAGGACAGGATCTTTCTGATATAGAAGTTCATAGAATGGCCTAGGCTGGAAAAGACCTGAGAGATCATCTAGTCCAACCTCCCTGTTTTGGGCAGGGATGCCACCTCTCGACTAGACCTGGCAACACATGGGGACCAAGCGGGAATCGAACCCGCAACCTCGATGTTGATCCTTGTTGCCAGCACAGTGCTCAAACCACTGAGCTAACCAGCCCCGTGTGTTACGGCAAGAAAAAAAACCAGACAAACCTGCCCTCGCATAGCGCTGAGCCACCAAGTAGAAAAACAACGACACTCGCCATCAAGGTGCAATTTATTTGGTAACTTCTGACACATTCTTGAGTTGAACATTTGAATTTAAACCGATTTTCTCTTTAATAAGGAAGACTCTTTCTCTTCTTAGACAAAATCCATGTATATTTTGATAAATTTGAGGTGTTTTCTAGGATGCCAACACCTGCAATTAACACCTGAGGTTGTATCCTCCTCCATTTCATTTCTGCAAGCAGATAGGTATTGCTTTTTAATCAGGTTTAGATCATTTTAAATCGAAACCGAGGAGCGTAGCGCTGACCAGAGACACAGAGCCGGTGTCACAGGTTCCTGATCTCTCTCCGGTGTCACAGGTTCCTGATCTCGCTCCGTAGGAACTGAAACAAATCCAGGCAGGTCTCTGCTGGGATCCAGGGTGGCTTGTAGGTGATGTTTGGAGTGGTCGGGGGGGTCTCACTGGTCTGATTCCTGTTTGTTGCAGAGGAGCAGCACCCTCTGCCCAGCCTGTTTTTAAAGCCTGACACCTTAAAATACCACATTTTCAGACTCCTAAATGGGAATATTTCAGGTTTATCTTGGCGATACCTTAAAGGATAAATGTTGCACGTTGAATCGATACTCATTTAGAATAGGTTGGTGTTTTCCTTTGACCATTTGATGCACAAGCTGCTGAAAATTAATTGCCTTGCTGAGCACAGGTTTAGCTGCCCGGCGCCTGCTAGTCTCGGTTTTAAAGATGCTCAGTTAATGCTGATGTATTCCCAGGACTACAAAAGTAGAAAAATACTGATGTATTTAAGACAGGTTTACAGCATTCCATAGAAGTAGCTGCTTTCACCTTTGCACATGGAAAGCTGAATTTCTCTTACCCAAATACTTCTTTAAACACTGGAAACGTGCTGGTTATTTCTCTTAAATTCAGCATAAGGGCTCCACAGGGACAATTTCTAAGCGGCTGTGTAAAGATCGAATCAGCCATTAGATGGAGCTCATAAAAAAGAAATGCACCGGGTTTTTCCCAAAGGGATCTTGGAGCCAAGAGCTCTGTGACGTGGCCCACCTCTAAAACACAGCCCCTTGCTTTCTGTACCTTTCTCAATAGACATTTTCAGAGAATTTGCTTTGCTTTACATGCCGTAACTAAATTTTCTAGAATTTTCTAGTTTAGTTTAAGGTATGCTATTTAAATATGTAATATATTTGAAAAATCATAGAGAGTACTTTGAAAGGATTTATGCATACCTTAATAATAATAGTTTATACTTACCTTGACAATAATGGAGTTCTCTTAGATCTTCCTAGCTTTTATAATTTTTTTTTCAAAAGTAGATGAGGAGCTGAGAAGGTTTTGTGGTGATGCTAAGAGAAGTAAATCTCAAATGTGTTCGTACCTGTTTGTGAACAGGTTGAATGGTTTGAAGCAGGCTATTAGGAGAGCCCCTTTTCTCATTTTCTCATACCAAAAGCATCTGAATCGGTGAAAAATGCTTTTAACACTTCAAATTATTAATACATTTTTACGTGCACTTGAGTTGCAAGTTAATTTGGAACACGAAGGGAATAGGGGTTGGAGGGTATCGGTCGGTTTGTCAGAAGAGCCCAGCCCCTGCTGAAGGAGGAACCAGAACTGAAATTTTGTATTTTGGGTCAAACTCCACCTGCCCTGGCAGCTTTTCCTGAGAGGAATTCAGTACTCACCCCACATCACGGGCTCCTGGATCTTTGCTATTCTATCCGAAATCCAGATTTGTGCTGTCCTCGTTCAGAAGATCCACCCTTAGGGCTGAGTCAGTCCGGTGTTGGGGTGTAGTGACGTGTCCAGGAGTGGCCGAGATCTTTAAAAAGTCTGCCCCTGCGAATGGTGTTGGTCTAAAATGATGATTATCAGCTGGTCCCTGAGATAAATCAGCTGGTCCCTGCCTGACAGCAAAGCTGTTGCGTGGGAACAGCATATTTTGCATTCTGTCTTCTAGAGTTAAGATGATGGTGATCCTAGAAATAACACAGTACTTCCGAGGGGTTTGTACACCTTTGGAAAAAAAAACCAAAAAGCAAACCACCAGGGAACTGAGTTTAAATTCTTTTTTGTTGAGCCAAAGCAGTTGTGACTGAGGAGATGCTGTGTATCAGCAACTTGCCTCAGGTCCTGCCACTGAAAAAAAAAAAAATCATGGGAGAGAAGGACATGTTTTTAAAATTTTACAGAGGTACATTCGTTGTGTGGCACGGAAGGGAATGTTACACTTCCCAAATGATTGCTCCCAGTTTGAAGAAAGCAAACATTTAAGTTGGGGTTTGCAGGGGTTCTGGTCGTGCCACACAGCTGGGTGGGTGGTCAGAGCGCTGAGCTCTTCTTGCATCTTTGAAACAAAATCATTTGCAATCAACAGGTGGGGGTTTTTTTCTTATTTTTGTCCCTGTTGTTCAAACAGATTGTTCCATAATTCTGTTTTTCAGTGGGACTAAAGCGGGACTGAAGTGACCCCATGGGTGACGCAGGGTTGCTAAACCTTCTGTTCCATTGCGGGTTCCTACAAGGCAGCTTTCGCTGAGCTGCTGCTTTTTCTTCACCTGATAGAATCAATTAGTTAGGTATTAACCTGTGGGAGAAAACAAAAGAGAGCCCAATATTGGTATTAATATTTATATATAAAGAAGCCCTTATATGCACAAAGTGTTGATGGTATAGCCTGGATTTAAGGGAGCACTAAATAAAGAAACTGCTGTCACCAGGAGCAGCGCCAGTGCAGAGCTGCTGCTGGCAGAGCCCTCGCAGGACGGGCACCCCGGCCTCGCCGCTTCTGATGCAAAATGGCTTTTAACACTTCAGGCTATTGTAGTTTACAGCATTTCAAAACATTTTTTTATCTGAATGCTTTTACATCTTGGCAGAAAGTCTGTTTTTCCTCTCTTTTTTTTTTTTTTAAATCCATTGCCTTCCATTATTGCATTTTAATGCTTTTCTTTCCTACTTCTTGAACACCACATTAAGATTCCTGGCTCTTTCTCAAGCTGTGCATTACATGGCAAGGGCAGCTCTATAAATCCACTGTATATGGGATGTGCCAAGTCGGAATTTCCCAGCTTTCAAAGGCTTTCCTATCGGCATGTGGTTCTATAACATATTTATGATGCTTAAAAGCTGTTTGCTTTGGAACAGGGATGGGAAGCGAGGCAGCAGATCAGCAGAAAGAGATCCGGGCTGGCGCCGGGGTTGTCCATCAGCGTGTGATCTTGCTGGGCTAAGGAAATCTGGTTTTCTGATGGTGCTAAGCAGCCGTTTGTTTGGTTTGCCCCATCCTGGGGCACTGCTCTTGGCGGGGCATTGGAGCAGGATATCCCCAGCATCAGGGTTTGACCACGCGGAGCATCTCCGGGTTTGGGCTCCCATTGTGTCACCCAGGGAGCTCCAGGCAACCTTCAGCTTGTGGTGGGATCTTACCCCATGGAACACACACAGGTGATCTCAGGAGAAGGCCAGTGCTGTAATTATGTCACAGCTGGTAGAAAATAATTTCATTTTCTCACACGTGGATATTGATGTCAGGGTTTGGTCTTGCATAATCGCTATTATTTGCCGCTGAGCATGGTGTCTCTGTGAAGCTGCTGCATTTGTATTCGCAGAGAGCTGAGGGTCTTCACAGAATTGTTTCTTGAGTCACTGTTTGACTCCAATTTCTTTTTTTTTTTTTTTCCCCTCCCCTCCCTTCCATCAGTATTTTGGTAAATGGGAGTATAGCTTTGAGGTAAGTTTGGTAACGACTGCATCCCCTGTACCGAGCCCTAGGCTAGCGCATCCCTCGCTTCTCTAGCAGTGCTGTGTCAGCACCCCGTGGCTCAGTGCCTCTCCGTAGATGCTGCTCCGACCTGCCAAACCTTATTTCCTCAGGTCTTGGGTTGCCAAGGCTCGATAGAGAATTTATGTGTCAGACAGGGATATTGTGTACCAAATGACGTAAATACAGCTCGCATCCCCCACGGCGCATCTCCTGCTCTGCAAACTTCAAACAGTGACAGAGTTTGTGACTGTTTCTCTTCTTTGAGTTATGGGACCAGCTGGAGCTGCTGGAGCCAAACTCGCTTGTACCATGAGAGATCATGGCTAATAGTTGGAATATTCCTGCAAATTGCAGTCTTGTTACTGAGTATTTGAAAGGACTTGTTCTTCAGAAATGACTAGGGAAAACATTGCAGGTTTCTTTTATTATTGCCTTCTTAGAAAGTAACGTTTAATAAAATGGGTGAAGGGAATGACTGATCTCTCGCTTCCATTACTATAGATTTTCTGTAGTCAGTGCAGCCTGGCTGAAGCACATCAGTTAAACTTTCTCTCTCCTCTACCGGAGAAAACAGCCTTTTATTACCAAAATAATTCTTAATGCCGTTTATACCCATGTGAAGAATCTACTGAGTTTGAGCATTTAATATAATATAAATGTGCAATTTGGAGAGATTGCTGCATTTCACCGTAATTTATCTCTGCGCCTCCCTTCTCCCTTAAAAGAACAGCAGACAGAAGCGAGCACAAAGCAATAATACATAATGAAACAAAACCAAGCATTGATGTTCATGCTGCTTACTCAAAGTGACATTATAAGGACATTTGTTCTTGATATTTTTAGTGGCCTCTTTATACGTACGTTACCTTTTTTCCCCCCTTACCAAACCAAACATGCCAAGCAGGGCCAGGCAAGGGAGCAGCAGCCAGGACCGGGATACGGGAGGAGCATCCCTAGCCTGCCCGCAGGGATGTAAACATTTAATTTGTTATATTTTTAATTTACTTGTGCTCGAATAGGCTTCAGGATGTTTAGTACAGGGTATTGCTGCAGTAGGAGCATCTTCCTCTGCCCCAGTCTTGCCGTGCTGTGGGGAATCCTGACTGCAGCGAGGCCCCGGGGCTCTGGGGGCAGGATCCAGGGACTGAGAGGCTCTCGAGTGGGACGGTCTAGCAAAGCAGAGCAGTGAGAACGCTGGGGTTTTTGCAAAGCCAAAGCTTAGTTCATGACTGTGCTTGTTTGTGTGTCTGTTCCCTGTGGAAGCTAGAGCTGTTTGCTCACAATTTGGCGCCCGAGTGTTCGCAGGCATCCTCACCCATCAGCGATTCCCTCCTGAGTGCTCTTCGCTTTCTCTGGTTTGCTGCTGTGGCTGCCTGACCCACCTGCCTGCTGCTTTTCCCTTTGCTTGTCTTTGTCTTTGCCGCTTTTCATTTACTTTTGCCATTTTTCTGTCGTGCAGACCCATACGTTTCTTCATATCATCACCCAGTCGTGCCTGACCCTAAGCAGGATAGAGGACGGCACCCACGGGCCCACGGTGGAGGCTTGCAATGGCAGCCCCGTCCAAACGTGGATGCTAAGAAACTACACCAGGCTGGAAGTCTTTAGAAACATTTTTCACAGCCCCACTGACTATTTCCTTTAACAAACGGTTGGAGGTTGGTATTAAAAAGCAAATGTAACATGTAAACGGCTTAAGCTACTCCCAGAAAAATGTTTCTTCATTCTCTGCCAAACCCAACAAAATTCCTTTTGTGTTTTCACATATCTTGTATAGATTATATTACCTGTGTCTAGTGTTAGCTATTATTAATTAGAGATAATTTCAGATTAATTCAGCTGTGCTGAGGTACCTCCATCACCTGTTGATGTCATTGCAACTGCGGCTGTTTGCGATAGCTGAAGATTCAGTCCCCATTCTAAGACGTGTAAATAAAGCCCATCGTGCAATGTTTGTCAGAAACAGTCTTCTTGAAAATTCCCGATTTCAAGTCATTCAATCCTAGAGCTATTAGTCACGGATAATTCTAAAGCATCAACAAAAAATTCTGAAATGTTAGTGACCGAAGGAAGCAAAATGTTGTGCCAACCCTCTGCTCTTCTTCCCTTGGTGGTTTCGCCGAGGAATGTAACAGGTAGCAATGGGGCAGCACAGCCTGCAAAGCCGGGGAGGACCAAGCTGAGGCTATTTCAACAAATGGCTTTTTTTAATTTTCCAAGTACCTTTTCTGCTCTGAACAACGTTTTGTCAGCGGCTTTCATTCTCAGAAGTCCCTTTTTAAACCTGAGAACTTCTGCAGTGAGTGCTACTGCTGGTGCCTCCCTCCAGAGTAAAGCAACACAGGATCTGTGCTCCATGGTTTTGTCATAATATATTTTGAGTCTTCTCTCAGCAGAGCCGTCATTTGCATACGTTTGGGAAGCGGAAAATGACAGAGCGTGCTCTGGGGCATCTCCAGATCTGCACAGCCAGCTCTGCCCCGTGCCTCTGCTCTCATGTTTGAGTAAAATGCCAGTTTTAGGCTAGCTTCTATGAGTACGGTGTTGCCTAGTAATTAATTGTTTCCCAAGCAAACAAGACCTTTTTTGTTGTTGTTTTTGTAATAGCATAAATAACGATAGAGCGCAGAAAGAACAAAATTTATGAGATGGTTGAAAATCCCAATGATATGGTAATCTAGCATGAAATTATACACTGAATAAAAGGGAACAGCTGATGAAGGCAGCGGCAGCATTTTTAGACTTGTTTGCATTTCTGGTTATAGTAGAAAATGATAGGAGCTTAATTGCACTTAAAACAATGTAAGTGAAGAATCAGTGATGCTTTGAGCAGTGCTATTTAGTAAACAAGCTACTTCTGTTAGCACTGCTAATTCTTTCCTCTTGTAATTAGAGGGAAAAGTGCCTTATATTCATCATCGGCTGTGTATCAAATGGCCCCTCGGTGCTTCGTTACAATATCTGCAGGCTTTTCTTGGAGAATTGCGTAATAGTTTGCTTGAAACCGAGGAGCGAATCTCTAGGGACAAGCTATTGAAAGGAGATCCGTAACACAGATTAGGAGCGTTAATACGTGACACGGTGCGAACTGCGGCGGAAAATCACGCAGCGCGACAGAGCAGGTACGTGTCTGGATGATAAAACCATGTGGGGCGTTCGCTGCGGTAGCGTTTCCCAGTGGTTTTTTTGAAACACCAGGTGATAGTTCGGGGGGTTATTTTATTTTTTTCTGATACACAAATGGTCTTTATTAGAACTGAAACTGCATCAGAGACACGGCTTGCTAAAATGACTCTTTATTTGTATAACTTCAGTTACAGTAGCATCATTTATATTATATTCTAACACTATTTGTGCTGGCAGGTGTGTGCGGGGGAGCGAGCAGCCTCCACCGCTGGGGTAGCTGCTGTCTCCCAGGAGGCATCTCTGCTGCTGCTGCTGCTGCTCCAAGACTTTGGGTCAGGCTTTGCTGTTGCGGGGTTGACTCATCTTTTCTCCCTTCTCCAGGAGGCTGCAGAACTTTACTGCCCGTCCTTGTTCCCTGGTTTGTTCCTTTGCACAGGGCTTTTCTCCCGTGGAGGCTCTGCAAACAAGATTTCAGTCCTGAACTCACGTATTTGCAGAATTGTAGAATGGTAGGGATTGGAAGGGACCTTTGAAGATCATCTAGTCTGACTGCCCTGCTCCAACAGGATCACCTAGAGTTGGTTATTCTCCTTGGCATAGGGCTCTCATCCCTGTGGAGCTGCTATAGACCTTGTCTGGCCACTTTACCTGGAGCATTAACCTACCTGTATAGGTTGCTTGACTAGTTTTAAAAGCAATGGCAGCCCCCTCCCTGGAAGTGTCCAAGACCAGGTCGGATGGAGCTTGGAGCAACCTGGTCTGGTGGGAGGGGGGCTGGAAGGAGATGAGATTTAAGGTCCCTTCCAACCTAAACCATGGTTCTGTAATCCCCTAGGGCCTGACAATCCCACAAGACAGAGCTGTGCAGGGCTTGTCTGGACTCAAGCCCCAAAGACGGACAGTGCAGCTCTTTGTAGCACAGGCACTTGAGGTGTGCAATTAATTGCTGTGATTTTGTGGGTAAAACCCCCAGATAACCATAGAGCAGTGATGGAGGGAACCGCTGCTGCTCAGCTGCGAGGGTACCTGTCTTGTTCTAAGCACACAACTTCACATTTAACTTCCCTGGATCTCTTCTTGAACGTGTTTTCCCAGTGCTTTCCAACAAGGAGATGATCTGTTTCTTCAAAATAAATTCAGTTGTCCCATTCTGACTCTCCCATTCCTCAGAAATACAGCATCACACTCTAGGAATAGAGACGAGTGTCCCAAAGAAGAAGTATGTTGGAAACAGACAAGTTTTCATCCGTCGTTCATGTGATTTTTATCAAATTCAGCAATTATTTCTGGACTAACAGCACGCTGGTCTGCAATGCACTGTGCATTCAGGTTGTTGGAGACATTAAGCTCCTTAATCTGAAATATCTTTGCTTTGAAATGACATTTCCTTGCACTTACTTTCTGCTTTTCCGTTGCGTCGACCCGTGGCTGGGCTCGGCAGAGGCACTGGCTCCCTGGGTCGCCTGGCTGGGCGTGAGGAGCTGACCTGGGCTGGGCATGAGTACCTGTCCCATGGCTTCTGTAGGACCATGAAGTAAGACCAAAAATGTGATTATATGTTTTCAGTAGTAATTATCTTGCTGCAGCTCTTCCCTTTCTCTGTTGCAGAAGCTCACCCTGAGGCACGTCAACAGCAACCAGTGTCTGGATGAGCCGTCAGAGGAGGACAAGATGGTTCCCACCATGAGGGAGTGCAGCGACAGCCGGTCCCAGCAGTGGCTGCTGCGCAACATGACGCTGGGTGCCTGAAGTCAGTGCAGACCCACTGCCTCAGCCCAGGTGTCCTCCTCCTCCTCTTCCTCCCCTCCTCCTTGCTGAGGCCAGCGATGCTGAAGCCCGAAACCCAGCTTGTCAGAGCAAAGTCATGGGGCGAGTTCCTTGATGCTCTGGGTCTTGAAACCTGTGACTGTTCAAAAGAAGCTCACCTCAGCCTGTAAATGTCAAAACACGTGTTGTTACTGACACAAACATGCTCAAAAAATGGCTCAAAAAATGGCTCCAGGGAAGCCTCTCTGCACCCTACATCAAAGAGGATGGGCTGGAGGGTGTTTTCTGTGTGTCCCACATCACCACGGAGAAGTGACCCGCTATGAAATGCCTTATTTTGCTGACTGGCACTGGGAGCCGTGCTGGCAGGTGTCTCCTGAGCTGGGAGTGTCGGTGCTGGTCTTTCTCGGTGACGTGGGGGGGATACCTGCTGTCCACGGGGGACTCGCTGAGGAACCACACAAAGTCGCCAGACAGCGAGAGCTCCGTGGTTTGTGCCAGGGAGGAAACAGAAAGTGGGATCCAGTGTTCGTGAAAGCAGCAAAACCAAGCAAAGGCTGCGCTCGGAAAATGAAATTAAATTCAATGAGGCAGCAGCAGAAGACGCGGGAATGATGCAAAGGAGGAGGAGTGACACAGGTGGGCACCGCGGACCCATGCGGGTGGAACTGGTGGAGGGGGCTGGCACCAGGCGAGCTGCCAGGGGCTACGGGGGGACGTACCTAGACTGGGACCAACCGAGAGTGCTTAGAACTCCATCGATCCCCAGCTGCTCCCCACGAGCGTCTGTCTGTCCCTGCATCCCGTGCAGAGTGCAGGGGAGAGCTTCGTCCCTGGGTCCCCTGTGCGCAGGGGGCGGAACTGGATTGACGCTCTGTCCTGGCTCCAGACATTGTTGCTTCGATAGCGACGACAGATACTTCTTTATATTTTTCGACAATTTTGTGGCTTAACTGTTTTGTTAGCATGGTGGTTAGAAACGTGCTGACGGCGCGCAGTCGTGGCAGAGGGGCCGATGCCATGGCAGGGTGTGGGAAGGGGCCCTTACGTATGGGTGACACTTCCCCTCTGTCTGGGTGACATTTCCTTCAGCGGCCCCAGCAGCTCCCTAAAACGTGTGACGGGCTGGGCTGGGTTTTTTGGCCGTAATCTGTAACTTCCCATTACCTGGAGGGATGAAGAGCCTTCAGCGGCTGCGGCATAATTTCAGCACGGGTGAGTGGTTTCCCGTTATTTCACTCACAGTTCCTCAAAAAGGTCTGGTTATGCACTAGGTCATTAAAAATGAGAGTATTTTCTGTATAATGCTCTGGTCGTTATGGATTAATAATGTCATATATGTATGTATTATAAATTTATAGATCATATTTTCTTGATGCGCACCATTAAATGAAAAGTAGAAGAATATTAAATTGGAAAAGTGATTGCCATGCATGTGTGGGAGCAAGAGTATCATGGATAGGTTAGAAGTTCATCCAGTCCAGCCTCCCTGCCCAAAGCAGGGTCAAACACAGTTCTGATCTCCAAATGGCCACAAAAATACTCAATATGGCTTAAAAGCTAGAAAAAAAATTCAGGATTTCTGTTGCACAGGGACAGCATGCAAACATTGGGAACAAATGTAAACACTGATGCCCATGCGAAAAAAAACCACGTTGTTTCTTCATCTCCTTTCAAGGGCTTTTGCCACGTGCACAGCCACTCATGCTGGCAGGTCAGGGATCTAGGCTTGAGGGGCAATCGCAGATGAAGAAAAGAGTATTTTTTTTTCTCCTTAGAATTGCTATAAAGGTTAATATTCTTATAAAGTGTATAATCCTTTGGCTAAGGTAGCAAGCTCACAGTGTTTGGGGTTGGGCAGCGCCTGCACTGCTGTGTCACTGCTCGGGCGGGCGATAAAACAAGGGAAATGCCTTGTTGGAGGAGTTTCATGCGAAGCCTCGTCGATGGAGAGCGTGGCAGTGATGGTGAGGGGGCCGTAAATGCCAGTAGCAGCATCAGAGGTGGTGAGTGGTGGGGGCGAGTGAAGAAATGTGAGTTCCAGCGCTTGGAGCCTGGCCCTTCCTCCTGCCGCTGAGTTCAGGTGTTGCCTTGGTCAGTGATTTGGGCTGAAATCATGTGAAATGGCTCATTCGGTTGCTTCTGTTGGTGAGTGTCTGAGGGTCAGCTCCCACAGCTGAGAAACGCTGGTTGGGCTTTGTTTCCCCACTTACATTCTGAGACATAAAAGAGCTCAGAAATGTGTCGAGAGGATCAGCTTCCATTTGCATAATGTGTTTAAAAATGAAGAACTCTGCAAATGCTGGATATTTATTGTTTTCACTGGAAAAGCGTTACTGGTTCTCCTGTTTTGCTAAGACTTGCTTTGATGAGCTGACAGCGAGCTGTAATGCTGGGTGGCACCAGCAAAGCAAACCTGCTGAAGAGTAAGTTGAACCATAAACTCTCTGGAAAGCCCCGTTCCTTTCCATCTCCTCCTGCTGATCCACAGGGGTGGGAGAATCAAGGTAGAGCCCCAGAACGGAGAAAAAAGCATGGATCAACCGGCCTGGGTGGGTTCCTCTGCTGCTGCATGTTCCCCTGTCACTAGGACGACTGATTGATTCGTTGCACTCTTAATATGAACAGCTGCAAACCTCCATATTCAGATTTTTTTAAATTATTTTTTTTAACACCCCCTCCCTGGCATCATCCAAGGTGAGGTTGGACAGGGCTTGGAGGAACCTGGGCTGGTGGGAGGTGTCCCTGCCCGCAGCAGGGCGTTAGAACAAGTCTTTAAGGTCCCTTCCAACCCAAATTATTCTATGGTTTGCAAAAGTCAACATTTATCGGAGAGTTTGGGAACTCGGTTGGGATCTGAGCATCGTGGATGAAATACTTCCTCACACCTATGGCTTGTTTAATTGGTGGTTTGGAGGATGCCCTTAAAAAGGCTCCTGTGCTGGGAGCACAGATTTAAATTAAAGTTATAAAAGTAGGCTGTGGATAAAAAATTACGCATTTTAAATGTTGTAACAGTTATTGAATGGTATACTGGTACTCTTTGCTGTACATTTAAATATTTATACATTTTTGTAGAATTAAAATATACCGGTTTAGTTTTCTTCTGGCCTCTCTGTCTTTTTCTACTTACTTTTTTTTGGTCTTTTCCTATATGTACTTGCAAAAAGCAGACTTTCCACCACAGCCCCTATTATATATGTCGATCCTTTATTTCACACATGCAACTGCAGAAGTAGGCAGAAAAGCTTTTCCTGCTGTGCTGCGAGTGATGGAGAGCACAGCTGGGGGCAGGTCGACATGGGCTCTCCCTCGCTGGCATCGAAGGCTTGGTTTTCCAGATGTTCCCTGGAAAACATCATCAGAAAAAAACCCCAAAAACAGTTCACTGGGTGAGAAGTGGTTTCTGAATAAATCCTAGCATGGTTTTCCCTGCAGTGGGCAGGAAAGGGTTGGACAGCCAAGGATCACGTATTCCCTGATGCCAGAGCTGTAAGGAAAAGAAAGAAGTTGGTTATATATTAAAAATAATGCCAATAATGGACCTTTAGACTTGTTTTTGTGGTGGGAGGATTTTCTCTTTTTTTTGCAGACGTGTCTTGAATCCCTTGAAGCATCTGGACCAGTTCTAGTAAGGAGGGAGGAGTGCGAATATTTGAAAAATAAAGGATCTGTGAAATGGAAATAAATCCCCAGGAGACTGAGGAAGAGATCAGTTCATGGCACCACTCTGGCAGAAGTGGTTCCTGAGAAAGTTTAGCATGAATAATCACAATAATAGGTCAGTACTGAATTATTTCAGGTGTTACTGTTGAATTGCTGGACAAAATTTAAGACTTTTTGTTGGTACCCTTAGAAAAGATTAAGCAAAGTGGTGAGAGTGTTGTAAGTGACAGAAGATCACGTACCTCACCTCTCCATTGCTTTTGAGGTATTGACAAAGCAATCAGAACTTGAAGGTGATAAAGCTTTTTTTATAATAGCAATTTTAGTTTCCTAATTCATCCTTCGACACTGTTACAATGTCCTTTGAACAACTAATTTATACAAGTACTACCGGTTAATGCCTTATTTAACAACATTATGTCCTTTCAAAGTCGCAGCCGTGGGGGAAAAAAAATTAAATGCTTTTTATCAAGGTTTACCTGCTTCAGGTTGCCTTCAGAGAGAGTCATGTTTGTGTATTTGTTTCTGATGAGCTGCAGTTTATATAAAACATTCATCGCCTCTGTACGATTAAAAAGATGACTGTCAAGTTTCTGCTCTGATTATTAAACTATTTTGCAAAGATGCAATTAACTGCAGAGCTCATGTTAATTATGGTACGTGAATCGTTTAAATGAATCATAAAATAATCTCTCTGTGAGTAATGAATGCAGACATAAAGGTTTGTTGGGTTGTGGGGTTTTTTCAGCATTTCTCAGAAATATTAATAATTAGGACTGATTATAGAGCTGAAATTGCAGTGAGTGAAACAACCTCATTTTCCTTAAAACCCACACGTGTGTTTTATCTCTTCTTTTGAGGTGTGTTTGGGGGCTTTACGGAGCCAGCCCCCCCGGATCCCCCACCTGGCACTGCTGCCACCCCCTCAAACTGGCATTTTCCCCCTGACCTGGGAAGGATTTTTGCAGAGCAAAGGTGGCAGGATCTGCCCCCAAATCCGTCTTCAAGCCGGTGGGGTTGGATGACACCCATTGGGGGACTGTTTCCGTAAATTCAGGTGGTCAATCAATAACTTAATCATTGTGGGGTGTTTTTTTTTGTCACCAGCTCTTCCTTCTGTCACCCTGAAAATGCAAACCTGGACAGCGAAAAAGCTTCTTTTTCTGTTGATACCAGCATTTTAGATCTCAACTACACAAACTTAATTTGAAGACTGCATTTGATTTTGTTTTTAATACGGTTCTTGATTTGGTTTCGTGTCATTCTGTTGTTATATGACAATGTTAATACTGTTATATATGTTTTATATTGGTAAT